TAAATTATATGAAATTATATAAATGATATGTATATGAATTATATATCTAAAATTAAATGACTAATTACAGATTTAGGTTAAATAAAGATGTCGGTCATTATTTTTCTTCTTTTTAGGAAACAAATCAAAGAATAAATAAACTAATTCTACTGTTTATTTTATGCATCAAACTAATATTGCTGTTGAGACAAAATGCAATGCCATCAAGTTAGCATTTTTAAACATTCGCTCACTTATTTCCCATGAGCTGATTCGTTACATCACCCACAACCTCTTCGCTCAGGCAAAGCTGGGAGAAGCAAGCATCTCCCGCATGGAACAGGAAGCAGCAGCGCTGAAGCTCCAGGCTGAGGAGGCTCAGAGAAACCTGGTGCTTGCTCAAAGTCAACTGGACCAGCTAACGTCGGAGACTCAGCACCAGCACAGGACGGCGGATGAAAAGGACCCAGAGCTGCAGGAGGAAGTAGAGACTCCAGAAAGCCTTAACTGATCTCCGTGTAGACATAACACGCCGAGAGCAGTGGGAGAAGGACACCAGAGAGGAACTAAGTGAAAAACTTCAGCGAGCCGAGGCTCTCCTGATGAGAGCAGAGACTGAACTCAAAGAGAGAGATGTTAGGGCCAAGGCCGGTGAAGGTTCCCGGGCTGACGTCAGTGCCCTGGCCCAACAAAGAGACTATTTAAAATATTAACTTGATACGGTTCACCGAGAGCTTAAATATGCATAAAGGCAGGTGCTGGTGTTCTCTGGCTAAATGATCGACCCTGCCCACCACAACACTTCAAGCTGGGTCCACAATCGTCACAATATGCTGAGATAGCAGCTATTCTCATAACCCTGCAGATAGCATCAACCTGTAACATCAGAGAACTGCTCATCTGCACAGACTCCAACTATGCCAGACTTGGCTTCACATGCCATCTTCCAGGCTGGAAGCAAAATGGTTTCAAGACAGCAAACAACAAACCAGTTAAACACCAACACCTGTTCCAGGCATGCGACGACATCACATGTGAACATGATATGATCGTCTATTGGAAGAAAGTGAAAGGACATTCAAAGCAACCTGGTCCAGACAAGGACCTCAATGACCAAACGGATGCCCTAGCCAAAGCAGGTGCACTACATGGCGAGTTATGGTCTCCACCAACCCACCCTTAACGTGGCAGCCATAACCCGCAGCAAACACACTCAACCCACCTCAATGCCCACCTCACAGCCGCTTACGCTGGCTCCTCAAATCTCCACTAATGACATTGCCGACATGCAAGCTTCTGACTCCGCCATCAAAACCATCCTTCACCACCTCTCTCACCCCTCCAGCCACCCTATCACACCAGATGAACTTGCTGCTTCCCCAAGCCTCAAACGGCTATACCACGTAACACACATGCTGCGTGTGCTGCGTGCCTCACTGCACCAAGGCTTATGGTGCCACACTGCCTAAGGGGGGTGATGCTGATGTATGCTCACGACGCACCGTGTGTGGGACACCACGGCACAAGAGCCACTTATGAGACACTTAAACAAGTGGCATACTGGCCCGGCATGCAGCAAGATGTGGCAGAGTACGTGAAAGGATGCCTTGTCTGCTGCCAATTCCAACCAACTAACCCAAACCACAGAGCCCCACTGCAGCGCAGAGGAGTCCCGTTTCCTTGGTCAGACCTTCAAATTGACTGGGTCGGACCCTTACCCAGGTCAACAAGAGGCAACAAGCATTTCCTCACAGTCGTGTGCCAGTTCACAAAGTGGGTAGAATGCCTCCCAGCACCCAATGACACTGCTCAAACTACAGCATACCTCCTGTTGAATCACATTTTCTCCAGGTTCGTGCTGCCGCTGAGAGTCAACTCAGACAGAGGCACAGCCTCCTCAGATAATCTCTCATCGGCTATCAAAGAAGTTCCTGCCACACTAGACAGGACCGCATGAGATTGTGGACAAACTCTCCCCTGTCGCATATCGGATCAAGCTGAGTCGGGGACAGAAAGAACCAGTTTTCAAATGGGTCCATCGTAACCAGATCAAGAGACATGTGGCTGCTGGCAGGGAAGGACAGGGGGGGGGGGCTAGTGCTAACTAGGCCTTGCTATAGTCCTCAAACAAAGACTGTCTTGAACACACAAGAACTTCCCTCACTGATCCACTGCCTTTCTCCCTTTTTCTGGCGTTTCTTCTGAATCTACCCATCATTGAATCCGACAACAT